TATTTTCAAAAATGTACCAGGTGATTTCAATGCACATTGAAGGTTGAGAACCACTTAACTTGTTAAGTTAACCACTTAGACCACATTGGCTGTTCATGCATCTAGCTGCCCTTAGTTTTTCAATGTTGTCATTATGGTTTAATGGAGATGTTGGAGACATGGATTCTAATTCCAGTTCTATCATTCACAAGTTGTATGATTGCTGGTCATTTCGGCTTTCCCAGGCCTCATTTTCCTCATCCATAAAGTAAGTGTTAAGTAGATAAGAAGTCATAACCTGGCAGCTACCAAACTATATGCAGTCTGCACAGAGGTTCATTTAGTAATCCGCAGGGATGACCTTTAAAATGCCTCTTTTAAAAATTGAATTAGTTTGCCAACATTAAAAAAAACAACATTTTATGTAACCTAAATTTCAGATATTTTAAACAACTGTACAATAAGGAATCACTGGACCAGCATCCCGGAAATCCCTGTAGGTGGTAAGTGTTCAACAAGCAATCCCCTCTACTCCCTCCATCTCCTCATCCCAGCTAGTATTAGTTTGTTATCTGTCTGGCCCTCAGAACACTTCACCTTGCCCCTCTGGTCATGGTGGTAGCCAGCTTCCCAGAAAGCCCTCAACAATTCTCATGCCCTTGTGCAGTCCCCTCCTGGCTAACACGGTGAAACCCCATTTCTACTAAAAATACAAAAAATTAGCAGGGCGTGGTGGTGGGCGCCTTTAGTCCCAGCTACTCGGGAGGCTGAGGCAGGAGAATGGCGTGAACCCGGGAGGCGGAGCTTGCAGTGAGCCGAGATTGCGCCACTGCACTCCAGCCTGGGGGACAGAGCAAGACTGCGCCTCAAAAAAAAAAAAAAAAAGATATTGTGAAATGAGGGTGTTTGGCTTTGTCATAATACACCTTGCAGCTTTTTCCCTGCTCTGTCTTGGATCACTCAATCTGCAGGAGCCAGGTCATAAAGACACTCACACGGCCCTGTGGAGAGATCCATGTGGCAGGGAATTGAGGGTTCTTGCCAACAGCCAGCACCAACTTGTCAGCTATGTGTCAGCCATCTTGGAGGCTGATCTTCCTTCAGACGACTGCAGCCCCCACATGCCACCTCATGAGAGACCCTGTGTCAGAACCACCCACCTAAGCTGCTCTGGCTCTGACCCTCAAAAATTGTTCATTGTTTCTGAGGTGCTAGGTTTTGGAGTAATTTGTTATACACCAATAGAAAAGCTACAAAGCCACTGTCTCCTTGACCTCTTTAATGTTAAAATAGGGCTATGCCTTTATTTCAGAATTATAGTCACAGTCCAAGTTCCAAGGGACCACAGTCAAGTTTGCATAGCACAGGGAATTTTCTATTTCTGAAGAGAAAAGTTTAACTCCTTCTACTTAGTTTCCATTCAAGTTCTGTAGGTTCTTTTTACTGCACGAGTCACCCTTCCTCAACATTCCTATCACCACCATCCTATTCTTTTGGCTGAATTCCTCTGGCTCTGACCAGCAAATCACTTCCTGATTTGCTAGTTATTCCTGCTTTCTAATTAGAGCCTCAAAGCTCTGTCCTTTTTCCTAAGTACTAACTGAAAACCTGGTAGTATAAAGGCACCACTCAAAAACGAGATAATTGAGGAGAGGAGGGAGGAGCTGGTTTTGTGAGCAAAGGATGATAAACAACTCAAATTTTAGCTGGGCCACAGTAGAATGCTAGTAGAGGACAGGACTCTGAGGGGGTCTTGTTAGCAGTGCTGATGTGTGTGAGTAAAGCCCTCAGAGTAGATGAACTCACACAGAAAAGCAGAGAGTAGTTCTTGGGCTAAAACCTAAGGTCATTTTTACTCCACCTCATCTTCTTCAAGGTCTATCAGAATCTTTAGAAATTTATCATGGATTCTTGTGGTTATTACTGTAGTCAAGATGAATGTTCTAACTGGAAGACTCAAATGACTGGACACATAAGCAACAGTCTGAAAACAGCAGTCATAAACAGAATTTAGTTTATATCAAGTTAAAATACTTCCGAAATTAACCTCATATACCTAATGACATATAATTGTTTTATTTAGGCAAAAAAGATAGCTCCATAAATTATTAGAAGTATTTTTTTTCAAGGAGTCAAACTCAATTTTTTCAACTTTTTTTTAACACCATGAAGCATTTCCCCTAGTACTCTATATGTATTTTAACACTTACCACATACATGTAACACTGACATTTCTTTGTTATAGGTTTTATGATCATTCCAGTTGGCTGCAAACTTTCTATTCTGAGCCTCCCATATCATTTTGTTTTACTGCAGTGAAATTTATATAGTCAAATGTACAAACCTTAATCAGTTTTTATAATGTGTATACCCATGTAACTATCACTCCCATTAAGTTACAAATGTTAACATTGTTCCAGAAAATTCTCTCCAAGTTAATCACCATATCCCATAGGCAACCACTGTTCAGATTTCTATCACCATAGATTAGTTTTGTTTTTGAACTTCTTATAAACAGAATTGTACAGTATATATTCATATATATGCCTGTCTTCTTTCACTCAATACATTGTTTTTGAAATTCACCTCTCTTACTGGGTTTATGGCACAAAGTTCACTGTAGCCTTGAACTTTTGGACTCAAGTGATCCTCCTAACTCAGCCTCTTGAGCAGCTAGGACTACAGGCATGAGCCACCATACACAGCTACTTTGCAAGGAGGGGGTGCAGGGGTAGAGACAGGGTCTCCCTATGTTGCCCAGGTTGGTCTTGAACCCCTGGCTTCAAATGACCCTCCTGCCTTGGCCTCCCAAAGCACTGGGATTACAGGTGTGAGCCACCATGCCTGGCCATATTCATTCCTTTTACTGCCTTCTGCCTTTCCACTTTGGACTGTGGAACTTAGTAGTGTGCCTTGCACACGGCAGGTGCTCAAATAATCCTAGTTAAGCAACTACATATATATATATGTATAGTATATATAGTTGTGTATAGTGTGTATATATAGTTCCTTCCTGTAACAGAATTACACATATATGTTCATTACAAGGTAGGTCCCGGATCTGAATTCCAACATGAGGCTTTTCTCTATGGTCTACCTATGGTTCCAGTCTCTTCCCCAAGAGATCCCTAAGGAAACTTAGCAGCTACCCACTGCTCCATACCTGGAAGAAGCAGTACTAACCAGGGACAATAACTGAGTGCTAAAGATGTGCCAGGCACTGATTTAAGGATTTCGTATGTATTAACACATTTAATCCTCACGACAACTCATCATATGGGTACTGTTATCATTCTCTTCTCTCAGATACGAAAATCAGGGTAAAGAGAATAAACAACTTGCCACACCGCTAGAAAATGGCAGAACTTAGAGTCAGGATCTGTAGTCAGGAAATCAAGCTCCAGAGCTTGAACCACTAGCCAGTAACATCCTGCATACAGGCAGCTGAAATTCTCTGCCATGAAAATGTGGATAGCTGGGAGTAACAAGCAATGATACCCCAAAGTTAAATGTGTGGAGTGAGGAAGGAAGATCCCAAAGATGCTGGCAAAAAGGGTACGATAAACTTATCCCCAAATATACCTGGAGTCTTTGAATCTTGGGAGAAAGGGAAAACTAGCTCCATGTTGGGGCTCTACATCCTGTTACCTTTCCTAACCTTAGCAACTCTCGTCTGGGGATCTGTCCTTTAGAAGTTGCAGTTCATCTTGTCCAAGCTTAGTCTCATCAAAGCATAAATGAACATCGAGTCAGCCATCATAAAAGTTGTTTCACTCAACAGAGCCTAAACAAGGCAAAAGCTGTGCTCTTAGTTACGAAGTCCAGGAGGGTCTACCACCTTGGGCAAATTACCTCACCTCTCTGGGTTTCGTTTTTCTCAGTTATAAAACGCAAAGGCTTCACAAGGTAATCTATTAGGTCCTACTGAATTCTAAATGCTTTGATTCTTCTCTTACCAAAAGACCATGCCAAATCTACCTTCAACTAAGCGGCCAAATGAATCCTCTAAACATCCCTTTCTTATTACTCCCTTAGTGAAGACTCCAAAATTACTCTCTATGGCTTCTTACATAATCTTTTCTTTCTCCTAAGTTTTCAAGACATCCATAAGAAGGTCCCACTTACCTATCTACCCTTATTTGCTACTATAAGTCGTTATAGTTCGGTTCCATACCCGCCGGTATGGGTTCCATACCCTACGGTCTGCTTTTCACAGGAGACAATTCCCAGCTTTTGAGTTTTGCTCGTTACCACCTCCCACACATCTAGCCGGAAACGCTAAGTTCTCCCTCCTAGGGCTGAATCCAAGGCCTTCAGTGAGGTCACGATTCTTTTCCAAGTAACCTTTCCCTATTTCTGTTAATTGCCCTTTCTTCAGACAACACGAATAAACTAAACCTTTACAAGATGCAAGACACACTAAGCGAATTACAACTCTATGTAAATCATTACATTTGAGCCTGTATCAACCACACACTCGGCTACCGGCATGCTAATAGCTTCCTTGGAGGCTTCACTTAGGCAAGACCGTGCACTAGGAGGCTCCTGCACCCTCCAAAGCATCTAGGACAGTGTTGGGCACAGGGCAGGTACTCCACACGAACACGCCCGGGTCCGCCCTAATCCACCGCCAGGGCCCGCCGCTGGGCCGGGAGGGCAGGCGTCGACCCCGGGGCCGGCGGGCGGTCCAGGGCCCAGGTGTGTGAGGTCACCCAGGTGGTGAAGGGTCGACCCACGCACCGCCGGGCCCCGGCCACCTCTCCAGCAGGGCGTCTCCCCCGGCCGACTCCATCGCCTGCAGCCTCCCAGCCTCCGGACTTCCGGGCCAGGGCCTCACCGCCAACCCTCCTCCCTCCTCCCTCCACCTCCGGCCCCATGCCCCCTTCTCAGCCAGCCTGACAGGTCCCGCCGACGCCTGGCCGCGCTGGGGCGGGGTCCGGCCGCAGGCGCGCGACGGGAGGGGGCGCGGGGACACGGAGGCGGCCCGAGGGGTCTCGCGAGCGGAGTCGAGCGCCACTCACCCGGCGCCAAACACCAGAACCGGGGTCGCCCTGCGCGAGACAACGAGCGACAGCGAAGAGCGCTAGGCTGTGGCCGGACAGTGGCGGCGCCGACACTTCCTGCCTGAAGGGGCGGAGCGGAAGGCGCACCGGAAGGCGCGGCTGGACCAAGTGGAACGGGGGTGCGCAGAGTGTTCGCGCCTGGGCGCGGGGTTTGTGTGTCAGCCGAGCGGCTGGGCTGCTGGGGCCGGAGGCACACGGCCGGGGTCTTAACTGCCCTTCGGCCTGCTCCGATCCGCTGCGATATAGCGCCGGCGCTGCGGCGGTCGCCCGCAGCCGGGCCCTCGTCCCCTGCTCCTTTGGCAGCTCCGCGGCCCTTCCGCATTCCTGGCCCGCTGGGCGCGGCTGGGCCGGGCGCTGGAATTTGACCCGAGCGGGCCGCGATCAGCGGAGGATTTGGGGTACCCTTTGACCCAGGCGGGGCGCGATCCGCCGAGGATTTGGGGTCCCCTGGCGCCGAACCCTGAGTTGCCAGATTTAGAAAGTAAAAGTACAGTTCTTCTAAATTTGAATTTCAGACAAGACCGGTTTTAGGGTTCGTCCCATGTAATGCTAAGAAGGTGAGGGCGGCGCCTGGGCGGATTCTTTTCCGCTCCAGAATCCCTTTCTCTTTTCAAACCGTGTTCCAGCCCGAGTTAAATCCTTTAACCTGCTCCTCTCTGCTTACCCTCATAAGGTTTACGGCCTTATGAGGCTACGGCCACAGCCTATGGCTGTTTCATTCCTCCTTTAGCCACAAGAAAGTTTTATTCAAACTGCTTTCTTAACTTTATCAAGAAAATGGCAACGCACACACATACATGCACACACAAAGAAAAACACGAAGCGGCCGGGCGCGGTGGCTCACGCCTGTAATACGAGCTCTCATGGAGGCAGAGGCGGGAGGATAGCTTGAGCCCAGGAGTTCGAGACCTGCCTGGGCAATATAGCGAGACCCCGTTCTCCACAAAAAGGAAGAAGAAGAAAAAAAAGGAAAACAAGAAGCTACGTTTTTCAGGTTTTGCTCTAGATCGTGTTTGTGGCTGTGTTCTTCAAGATATTTTCCCTCACCTTGAGGTAATCTAGCATTACTTCATCTAGCATTACTAAAACAGCATTGCTTCAGGATGGTGGAAGATTGGCAATCTAATAGCAAATCTTTGTTGAACTCTTCTTATTGCCTTAACATGTGCTGCATGCTGAGAGATGAATTCAAAGCCTCTTAGGGAGTTTATATATTCTAGAAATCTTTGATCAGAAATTCCTAGAAGGGAGGGAGCTTGTGTTCAGCACTCTATAGCAGTTCTTAAACAGTAGCACGCCTAATAACAAGACTTTAAAAAACATTTTTGAGCCTCAAAACCGGGTATTAGGATTGAGTGAGTAAAGGGTGGAGGATAATTCCAATTTCTGGTAAGCACACATGATGCTGATGCGGTGGTCCTCATCCCAGCAGCACAGCTCTAAATCCAGTTCATGACTGTATGTATTTTCTCAATAGTGTTAGAAAAGCAATTGCTTAAAAGTCACACCTGGTTCTACAATATTTACCCTTTCCTTAACTGTAGTCTAGGTTTTGGTTCGATAGTTTAAATAATTAAAAAATATAAGTTTCTAGAATTGTGCTGTCCAATACAATCGTCACTAACCACATGTGGCTAAACTTAAATTCAGTTCCTCAGTTGTATTGGATAACGTTTGATACCTGGAATGCAGTGGCTATTCACAGGTGTGATCATAATGCACTACAACCTGGAACTCCTGGGCTCAAGCGATCCTCTCACCTGAGCCTCTCAAGTAGCTGGGACTACAGGTGAGAGACACCGCACCAGTGCGTCTGGCAGTATTAGACACATTTTTGTTTTTTGAAACAGTCTTGCTCTGTTGCCCAGGCTGGAGTGCAGTGGCTCGATCTCGACTCACTGCAACCTCTGCCTCCCGGGTTCATGCGATTCTCCTGCCTTAGCCTCCCGAGTGGCAGGGACTACAGGCGTGTGCCACAACGCCCATCTAATTTTTGTATTTTTAGTAGAGACGGGTTTTCACCATGTTGGCCAGGATGGTCTCAGTCTCTTGTCCTTGTGATCCACGTGCCTCGGCCTCCAAAAGTGCTGGGATTACAGTCCTGAGCCACCGCGTCCGGCCAGTATTAGACACATTTTAAGTGCTCAATAGCCACATGTGGTTAGTGTCCTTATTGTATGGCACAGAGAGCATTTCCATAATTACAGAAGCTTCTATTTGACAGCACTATTCTGAAGAAATAATTCTAAGGTACATTGTTCTCTTTAGATGCAAAAGAAAAGCCTATATAGGCTTTATTTAATCATTAATAAAAATGTATTCACTAACAAAAATAGCTGGATAGCTAAATATCTATCATTGGAAAATTGTTTATAGCATACCCACGTCAAAGATAATTGAAGTTAAGAATGGTTGAAAAACCAATATACTTAAAACAACAGTGGCTATGCCAAAACATGAGATATAATTTTAGTAAATGAAAAAACAAGTTGTAAACTCATTACAACTGTAAAATGTATGTGGATAAACATTGGAGAAGTCACAATTCCTGCTATTTGAGCAGACACAGAGAAATCTAGACTAAAAAGATATAGGGACTTGGAAGATGGAAGAGCAAGTGAAAATGGAATAAGCAGCACGGGGAAAACTGGGCATTTCTTCAGTGCGGGATTAGCTACAACAATCGCTTTATGGACAGAAAAGGTAAGCAAACATGACTAACGACTTGTCAAATCTGGGGGCGTCTCATTTAAACCTTCCCATACTCCACTGTTCTGTGTTGGACACTACTAACCTCCTTACTCTTGACATTAACTAGGTTTCCGTAAAACTGTTTCTGTGGCTCCATTTACCTCTCCAAACTCTGATCATTTTTTATCTGATCCTCAAGTCTAGGTGTTAAACCTCTTGCTGTCCTTCCTCTTTTCACTTTGTAGCAAATGGTTTCCTTTCCTTCTCAATTTGCTTTTACTTGTCTCTTATGCTCAGGCCTTCCTCCTTTCTTTCCCAGGAGCATTCAATTCCTGCTCTCAAGTCATAGGTTCTTTCATCAAGTAAAATTTGGGGCCTGGAATCCAAATGACCATATCATATGCAGGTAGATAAGGATGCCACCCCCATTAGGTTGGTTTTGTCTGATTTTTTTTTTTTTTTTTTAAAGACAGGGTCTCGCTGTCACCCCAGGCTGGAGTGCAGTGACACAATCAGTTCACTCCAGCCTTGGACTCCTGGGCTCAAGCAATCCTTCCACCTTAGCTTTCGGAGTAGCTGGGATTATAGGCACCCGCCACCATATCCGGCTAATTTTTTTTTTTTTTTTTTTTTTTATGTAGAGATGGGGTTTTGCTTTGTTGCCCAGGCTAATGTCAAACTTCTGGCGTCAAGCAGTCTTCCTACTTCGACCTTCCAAAGTGCTGGGATTACAGATGTGAGCCAATATGCCTAGTCAGATCTTTTGAAATGGTTTTGTTTCAAGTTTGACTTTCATCGTGGAAACTTTTGAGACTGATTTTTCAGTCAAACACACCATTGAAATGGATGCTTTTACCTTTCTATTGGCAATCATTCTTGTTTAAGCAAAGAATGGTATTACTAAATTAGGAGAATTATTTCATTCAGGGTACATCATTGTTCTTAATGCAAGTTGGTTCTTTGAGCAGTTATCTGAAAGGGAAACAGGAACCCTGCAAGAGATCATTTTAGTAGTACCTTGTATTTCATATAGTGGAAACAATGTTATCTGTTCTTCACTGGAGATTTAACAAAGCATATGATAATTTTTTCTCTTGACATGGAAATTCAGTTCAAAAAACAAGATTTTAGCACCATGGCCATAGCCTGGAAAAAGTATTTTGGCTTAACCAGTGAATAAAATTCAGTAACAAAAGACAAAGAATGAAGGCAGGTCCTAAGATTCTAATGTTGAAGAGGACAAGAACTAGCTTTGACTAGTCCATCTATTCCTATAGCATTGGCCTTCTCAGGTTACAGGATCTAGCTGATCTTATTGGCTGCAAAGGCCTGCTGCCCAGAAGGCTTTTAGTAATTGTTTACCGAATGAGGTAATGGTTTTGTCCAAGGAGAGTCATGATAATCATAGCATAAAACTTGAAGTTATTACAGTAATTGTCAATTACTCATCTTCATGGGCTAATTGTCAACTCTTTTCAACCAAATTTTTCTCCGTTTCAAATATTTTAAAACTCATGAATCTTTGAGAGTGGGAGTTTTGGGCTGGCCATGGTTGCTCAGACCTGTAATCCCAGCACTTTGGGAGGCAGAGGTGGGAAGATCACTTGAGTACAGGAGTTTGGGACCAGCCTGGGCAACATAATGAGACCCTGTCTCTACAACAAATTGAGAAATTAGCCAGGCACGGTGGTGCATGCTTGTAGTCCCAACTACTCAGGGTGGATCACTTGAGCCCAGGAGGTCAAGGCTGTAGTGAGCTGTGATCGCGCCACTGCACTCCAGCCTGCATGATAGAGCGAGAGACCCTGTCTGGAAAAAAAAAGAGAATCCTGAACCCTTTGAGAGTCAGATTTTTAAAGCTGAAAAAGAATGAAACTGTCTGCCACTCCCTGATTAACTATGAAACAGTTCTGCATTTCTGCAAATAGTAGAAGTTATTTTTAGGACTGAAATAATGACCTCACTTTCCCAGGCATGTAGGTTCAGCTGTTTTGATTGTGGGAAGGTCAGGAATGTCCAAAACTCATACATGGACTCGTGGTGAATCTCTGCATAAATATCTTTCAATAGGCATTGTTGTGTTAAAGAAGAACTACATATAATAAAAAAATACTGCATTGTATTTCCAGCACTTTAAAACATAACATTAAAAAATCTCTCTTTGGTAGCATTCCACAGAACCTTTAAGCCAAAATGGTTTTTAAAAATATGAAAAATTGAAATTACACTCAGTGACCTGGTCTAATTTTAAATAATCAGAAATTACAAAAGTTTAAATAAAGCAGAAATGTTGGCAGGTATGTCAACTTAAGAACTTAAAGCTAGGGAAACTATCATATGTATGCCAATTCTACAGGAAATTATTTGAAGAATTGGAAGACAAAGTGCAGAAAACCTGATTAGGGCAGTTAAAATTGGATATCCTTGGGAGGAGGAGGAGGATAGTAGAGGAGATAGGATTGTTAGGAAAATTGGAGGAAGAGAAAGCTAACAACCATATCATTTTCTAGGATTTTCCTCATCTACCTTTCTTTGGAAGATACAACTAAAACCAACAAAGGCCCAGTTTGGGTAAATAAGAAGTTTAAACAAGTAAGTGTTTTATCATAAAGTTTAATTATGATTCAGAAAAAATCGAGCAAATAACTTTCTCTGAAAAAAATATATTGACTCTGTATAGACCACAGTTATTAGGGGAAAGGGCTGGTAGGTTAAATTACCCTATTTTCTATTCTGAAAATGATATCAATAGAAAGTCCCTTTTCCAGTCTGAGTATAAAGATACATATGCCCAAAATGGCTAAGAATAAATACAACAGGAAATGCAAAAGCTGTAAAGCTAAGGGCATGCAAGAGAAAATCTCAAAAATACCCAAAGTGGCAACAAGGAACGTTTGGCTGGAATTTGAAATTCTTTCAGTCATCTTTGTCTTTTGCTCCATGTTTCAGGATGCGCGTGAACTCGATGTAATTGAAATTCCCCTTTTTGTCAATAGGTGCTTCTCTGTACAGCTCATCCACTTCCTCATCCGTAAACCGATCCCCCATGGTTGTCAGCAGCTCTCTCAGGTAATCTTCCTGAATGGTGCCTGGAGAATACAGAATAAGGGATCAGAATACATACTACTCTGAGGGTCAATCACAAAGAATATCTATACTCGACTAAGCATGTTCTGTATGTTAAAAACTATAAACATGCAAATATGTGAACTCCAGGGTGTCCACCTACTTAAAATAGCCTCAGCAGGGAAGTGCCTAGAAAAATGCCCAGATGCTTAGCAGCGTCGTTCTGCTCTATCATTCTGCCTCCACATTCAGCTTCTGATCTCTTGATAATAGACTAAACCTATGCCTAAACAAAGTAATAAAAAGTATGGTTAAAGAATCTAGCCTTATGGTTCCTTAAAGTGGCATGAATGGTCATGTGTTATTCTACAAGCAAATAACATTGACCTGCCACGCTAAAATCAACACTACATCATACACATCAATAAAGTGGTACAGTGGAAAGAATATTGGAAACTTGAGGCCCAGTTTTAACAAGCTATTTTATTTCAGGCATTTCACTTTATCCCTGACCTTTGGTTTTCTCAGATGTAAAATGAGATTTGTACTGTTTACAAATCCAATTATTATAACAAATATGGCCAGTCCCAGCACATGCAAAAACATGGAATAAATATTTGAGCACTAACTATGTGGCAGGCACTGTGCTAGGCAGTGGGGGTGTGCAGTGGTAAAATGAAAGGTGTGCTCTTTGGGAATTTGATACCAGGGTTCTCATAAAACCTGCCTGCCTACAAGAATCAGATGTCACCGAAGATTTTCTGGTATTGGTATTTTTAAGATTTCCCAAATAACTGGCATGGACATGTGGGGAGCCTTGAAAGCCACAGACCATGCTTCCATCAGTAGGCCCTGGCAACCACGCAGTATTTAAACTAGTCCCACTAATGCAGGCAACCCAAGATTGTGCCTTCCTTCACTAAACATACTTGGCTACGCCATGTTGAGTTGGGTGTCATGGAAAATATTCCCTCATTATGTTTTACACTTCCGCCAAAGGATCAGGCCCCTATATAGTTAACATTTTGTTTTTTTGAGAGTTAACTCTATGCCACACAGTATGCTAAGTACTTCATGTACATCTCACTTCATTTACTTCTCACAACCACCCTGTGAGGTAGGTAATACTGCCCATTTTACAAATAAGAAGACAGAGGCTTAGAGAAAGTCAAGCAACTTGCCCCAAATTACAATGAAGCCAGATAGTCTAATTCCAGACCCTAAGTTCTACTGGGTGTATTTTAAAATAGAGGTTAAATGTCAGATTTAAACAATTTGAGAGCTGACAGATACCTGGTAAACACACACAGGATTGTAGTGGTGCCATAGCCTATAACAATTTATACTTCATCAAGATTATTCTGTTAAAAGTTTTTTATTCAATACATATTTTCTGATAGCCTAACCCTTGTGGAGTTAACATGCTAGGAAAGGGGTAATACAAGTTTCCCAAAGAGGTTTCAAATACAACCTATTCATTGTAAACTAATACTTAGGGCAGAAGCAGAACATGAGTGACAAACATGCCAAGAGAACTCTGTTTAAAAACACAGGTGTAGTACAAACCTGACGGTGTTATCCTATTTTAAGTCACTGTATATTTTAGTTACCATAACTAAAAATTAAATCACTTTGTAATTAAAGGTTACCTCTCACTTACCAGTTGCTTCTTCATCAAAGCAAGCAAAAGCATTTCTGATGACATCTTCAGGATCCGTGCCATTTAACTTCTCACCAAACATGGTAAGGAACATGGTGAAATTGATGGGGCCTGGAGCTTCATTCATCATGGCATCCAGATAATCATCAGTTGGATTCTTCCCTAAATTTTTAAAAGGGGTCATAATTTAAATTACATTATAATACATATCAACTATTAATGACAGTAAACATTTTGGTAAGAAAGATTATCATTCATACAGTTTACTGTTTGCACTCATGACAGCAAAACTACTTGGGGGGGAAAGTTTTCTTAATGAATAGGGCCTATTAAAGAGTCTGGAGAGTATATGATATTCCATTGGAATGTCAGAAGGAATAATACTGCTTCCATAATCTAGATTAGTGTTTTCATACACACACACACACGAACCCCAACCCAATCCTAAGACAGGGTCAGGAATCTGCTGGTGGTTCGGTGGGAAACACCGTTCCACACTTTACTCAAACCATTAAACAGGCTTTACAGAGCTTTAAGACTCATGAAATCAACATGAAAGGCACCGTGGAAATTCTATCCAATAGATTAATATTTAAACTGAGCATTACCCAATGAAGCAAGCATATCATGCAAATCTTCCTTGTCGATGAAACCATCTCTGTTCTGATCAATCATGTTGAAGGCCTCTTTGAACTCCTGAATCTGTGACTGGTCAAACATGGCAAACACATTGGATGTTGCGCGCTGAGGGCGCTTCTTGGTCTTGGTCTTTGCTCTTTTGCTTGACATGGTGGTGGTTAAGTCCTAATTAGGAAAGGAAATACAATAAAAACTAAACATCTAAGATTACTTAAGTTTGAATCAAAACAATGATTAACAAAAGTACACAGAATCAGCCTTCCTGATATGTTTGAGCTACTCAGAAATGTGTCTTTAGAAGACACATGTCAACAAGATTACATATGACCCGTACTGCTATATAGCTAACAACAGCTGATAACCAAATCTGCTAATTTGATAACAATAAAAAACCAAGCAGCAAAAAAAATTAGTTACCTAGGAAACTCCCAAGTTCTATACTTCAGCACTATGGGGGTGCTGAGGGATACTAACTCATCTTCAGTAGGTCCACCCTTTGCAGCCTTAGCCTAAATTGGCTATTCCATAGTACGGTGGACAGAAAGGTGAAGAACAGTAAGAACGACTAACTGATGGAACAGGTCTTCATCTCCTAATCTCTATTGACAAATATTGTTCTTCCACTTTCAACTAACATTTTTTATTGTGCCCTCACCTCTAGGCAAAAGTAGTTCAAGAAAACTATTTGTTGAAAGGCTAACAGTAAAGGATAAAAAAACTGAGGGGAATTCATCTACAGTTTTTATAGACATTATACTCTATCCAAACCAGTTTCTTGTATTACAGTCACACTAAATCACTGGAAGTATCTAAGACCTCTAAACAGAAATCAGAGTACAAGCTTTTAAAATAATTTAAATGTTTTAGAAAACATCTTAAAGGTAGAAACTACCTTTGCTCTCTTATCTAAATTTATCCCAGTAAAATTTAAGTTAAAATTAAAAAGAATGTCTAGTAATACCTAAAATAAAAAGGCAACTTTCAATACTCAGTCTTTTTTAAAAACTACAAAAATTTGTTTGAAGATCCATAGTCATCAGACAATAAAATTCTACCATACCATCGTTCAGAGTTGCAGTGCAGATGGTAGTCTGCAAAACCGCTCAGCAGCAAAAGTAAGACACTGCATTGAGTTATATTCTTCCAGGCAGGTCTAAAATAGGCACTACTGATTTCACTCTGACCAGGATAACAATTTTAAAGCTTACGTTCTGAAAACATTTAGCTATGATCTGGCAAAACACTATGCCACTGCTCTAAAAATAAGTCTGTGGACTGCAAAGAATGAACTACCACCTAGATCTCAGCACTCCACAGTGACCCTAAGAATATGACTCCGATGTGTTTAAAAAGTAATTTCTTACATTATTTCCTTGATTATAACCACATCGTCCAGACTAAATACAATTACGGAATGATCAGAAAAGCTCTGCCTCAAATTTTTAAAAGCTAAATCTGTTTTCAGATTTTAATAGGAAATTCCACAAAGGATAGTCACAAATTCCAGCCCATCCAATATAGCACCATATGGCAACTGGAATATATTGTTGAAAAGATATATCCTACACAGCACAGAAGTTATGATATATGCTGCTCCCAAATTTCCTAGAATTCTTTAATCAACTTTTAGGATGCTGCCTTTCATGACTTAAACCATTCATAAATGCATATTTTCATTCTATAACACCTTTGGAGGTAGTAAATCCCATTCATATCTAAACTACATAGGGTTGTACTTTCCTGTTTGTTGTAAGTGCTGTCTTTAAAAACGACAAAGAGTTATAGAGTATATTATTCCTCCATCTCTTAAATGTACTCAAGGACTTGCAGCAAGAGGTTGAGACCCAATGTGTGACACGTTTACCAGTCCATATCACTTTCATATTTTAGGCATGTCACGCCTTTGCAAGCCAAAGCACATCTTTAAAAATAGTCTGTTTTGTGTGACAACATTGTCTTTCCCTAATGATGCAGAAATGTCAGCTATTTTAAGAACAAAGAACTGATGAGGTCAAACGGCTGCCACAACTGATCTTTTAATCTATTATATAAAATCTCATATTACTAAATGTATGGGGGTCCTCTAGATACCTTTTCAAAATGTTTAGGTTTGGTTGTAAAGTAGTTTGTTTTCTGAATTCTGATGTATTTCCTATTCTTTTAATCATGCACTTTTTTGAATTTGTAAATGTATTATAAAATAGATTTTTAAAGTAAAGAAGTTTTTTTTTTTGTCAGCACTGACAGTGGCTTCATATAGAGCTCTTCTTCAGCATATTCAAGACTTAATCTTATCAATCTTCTTATGAACAGTTCATTACACTAATATGTATCAAATGTCTTATTAATTACGTTGAATACTACTTAAGAGTTAAGAAATGTAAGGCATGTGTCTTATCTTCAAGGAGCTTAAAATACAGTTGGGGAGGCAACTATAAAGAAATGAGATGATTGGTTCAACTTATGAAATGAGTCATAGTTTTCATTCCAGAAGTATGACTCTAAACTTAAAACAATGTGTGACAATAATGAAAAATAATTTGTAGGATGGTACATAATAATTAAATGTTGTGAGTTCAGAAAAGATGTTTCTGAGTAGTTAAGTGATTGGGGAGGAGGAAGACCTTGAAAAACCCAGTGTGGGATCATTTAGAAGCTACAAGGCATAGTTAGAATTAAGAATTTGGGTGTTAGTCTCAATTCTAACAAATTAAGGTAGTTAATTCTACCAAAAACTGATAGTGTAATGTTGAGCAAGTTACTACCTAGGCCTTTAATTTTTCGAGGAGGCTGGATTCTTATCTCTGAGTTATTTTCCACCAGAAACCTTTCAGCGATAGGGAGTTCAGTCACTGTTCCAAAATACAGAAACTGTGGGGTTTTTTTCCTACCAAACTAAAAGTGTGGGGGGAATAAACAATGGTGGAGGGAGTCAAATCAGGAACAGTGCTATGATCTCAAGGAGCAGATCATTTCTGATATTGTCAGGGTCCTCTTTGCTATTATTCTAGTTTGCTGTTCGTTTTACTTTCCCGCAAACAATGGAGACTATCACTCTTCATGTAATAAGCCTTCAGCAAATGCACAACTCTCATCTAAGTTTAGAAAACTAGGGTATACTCCTTAATCTAAAAAAGTTGAAATTGCTTTTTGCAAAAAGCAAGCTAGGGTAAAATAAATTGAAAAGATTTCATGTCAGTGTAGTTATTTAGGATGCAAAGATCGCCAGGTAAGGACCCAAGGTTTCCAAGTTACGAAAGCTCTTCAATCATAAAGTCGAGTCTTTATTTATTTATATTTGTTTATTTATTTATTTTTGAGATGGAGTCTCGCTCTGTCGCCCAGGCTGGAGTGCAATGGCGCATCTCAACCTCTACCTCCTGGGTTCAAGCAATTCTCTGCCTCAGCCTCCGGAGTAGCTGGGATTACAGATGCCCCCCACCACGCCTGGCTAATTTTTGTATTTTTGTTAGAGACGGGGTTTCACCCACCTTGGCCAGGCTGGTCTTGAACTCCTGACCTCGTGATCCACCCGCCTCAGTCACCCAAAGTGCTGGGATTTCAGGCGTGAGCCACCGCACCCGGCCTGAGTCTTTATTTTTGAAGGATTAAATGAAAGATCTTTGGTGTGAAGGAGTATATGTTGTATGAAACTGTAAAGCAAGGAGACTTAAGAACAGGCTTCTACAAAATATAAGAGGATTTCAGAAGCATGAGAAAGTGGATGAAGGGCAGTCAGGAGACTGAGTTTATAGATTAATCTAAAGGAGCATAACCTTTTTTTTAAGTCAGGGGAGGTGAACGCTGGTGGCAATGAATCTGTTTTTTATTTTGTGTTTTAACTCAGAATCATTATGGGCTATAACGAGATACACAACACAATTAAAGAAAATGTTAGACTAGATTAATAGGTGGCAGAAATAGAACAGATTCTCAAAGTGGCTTTCCCCACACACCAAAGGACACGAGAAGATTTTTCAGATCTCTAGAAACTATATTCACTTATAAAATGGGATTAATCCATACCAATATATACATTAGAGTGCTCTGGTTAGAACCCTAGAGTCCAGCATTTACAAACTGGCAATAAATGTAAAATAACCTAGAAACTTTTTCTACAAAACGAACACTCAGATTGATAATATTCTGAGAAATATCAGATATTCTTCAAGAAAAAACTACCATCTTACAAAACACTGCGTAGTGTGATAGCACCTATCATTTGGTCGGCTTTTTAAACCCTGAACAAATACACCGCCTCATTTAATCAATGCACTTAAAAAAAAAAGTGTAATTTATTTTCTGGTGCTAACCGCAATTTTTAAAAAGTGTATTTTCAAGTTAGTGCTTCAGTTCCAAGTAAACCAAGTTTTCATTTCTTATGCAAACTTCCGGTTGAAGGTAGGATTCGTTCTCTAGGACTGCCACACCCAAAAGTTCTCACCACTGGACAGAAAATTGGCTGTTAGGGCTGACTTGCCAGTAAAGCCTCGCTTTTGAAAATAAAGTGCTTTTCTGATGACCGTTTATCAGAGCCCTTCCAGAACATAAAACAAATACCAATAATTTTAAGAAATATTCGCTTTATTCGCCTTTAGATATAAAACTTTTTGCACTTAAGTTAAAATCTCTGCTAAATCCATAGGTCTCTCAAGAAATTGATAGATACATTCATATACCTACTAAACTACTTTAAAAGAAAACACTTCCATGGAGAATTGAATTAGCCCAAACTTTCCCCCCACATGGGACAAGGCATTATATTTTGGAGTTTTTCCTGGAGCCACAAACTAAACTCCAGATCTCTTTGTCCAAAATTTCATCGCTTAAAGAAAAAAAGTTCTAATTACAGAAGCGGGTACTGAGTTGAAGAACTTCCCAATTTGAGTTGGTTATTCCTACTAAATGTAGCCACACAGCTGCAACAGCTGCAGCGGGGGGACAATGGGCTACGTTTTTTGCGCAAACCCTCTTGAATCGGGCAAGTTGACGTTAGAAACAAAAATAGTCCCGGGATCAGCTCTGCAGGGGTCGGGTTTCGCGGGCCCGGCAGTCGTCCAAGATCAAGGCGCCAGTGAGCGAAGCCGCATTTCCCGGGCTCCAAGTTTGGGCCCCGGAGCGAAGTTCGGTCTGGGCCACTCCCAGCCATGGCCTCGGATCCCACAACCAGGGACCTGGGTGGCACACCTGCCCAGGTGCGCTCCCGGCGCCAGGAGCCCCGCCGCCCTCCAGCTGCCCCGCGGAGACGGGTCCCCGGGATGGGTGTCCCGCGCCCGAACGCGAGTGCCACTCACCCGGCACAGCTACGAGAATCCGAGTACCTCTGCGAGCCCCTCGCTGCCGCTACTACACCACCCTACTACCCAGAGAGCCGCTAAAAACCACCGCTTCCGGCCTCCGCTTAGCAAGCCGGAAGGAAGCCCGGTCACCTTTCTTGGCCCGCAGAGTGGGCCAGACTTCTCGGAGGGGCGACATGGAGGGAAGTCGCCAGTGTGGTCAGCGAGCGCGGTATTGACCAAGTGCACGAGAAGGAAGCCTAAAGTGGGCGACCTAGAGTATAAAGCAATATATCATGGTTCGCTGGGTCCTGTTCACTGAGTTTCCGTCTTTTTTGTACCTCTTGTTGCAGTGTTAAGTCTTCCTCCCCCCTATCTTTTCCGCAGATGGTTGCGTCCGTGCTGTGGCTTTGCTTGGTCGCACATTCCAGGGCACGGCGAAGGGCGGGGCCCGTCGGCCCAAGTCCTTGTAGGGAAATCGAGGAGACGGCAGCGGACACACGTGACTGGCCCTCGCCCCGCCCCGAGGCCGGGCTCCAGCCTCCGCCGTAGTGTGCCTGCACTTGACGCCCCTCGCGGGGTCTGGGTCTCCGCCTGAGGGCCTCGGAGCTGTGTGTAGCCCGGGAGTGGACCTTGATGCTAGCTCTGTGTGCAGTGTAATTTTATGAAGAGTCCCGCCTCCTCCTTACAGGAGGAAACCTGTGTCCCTGGGGCCCTCAGCCAAGCGTCCACTATCTTTTTGGCCCAGACGGATTTCATAAGGTCACATGTGGCTGGAGACTTCCTCCCTCTTGAAAAACATTTGCCGTCGTTTTTCCCTGGCAGAGCCCCTTTGACCCTGGCTAACAAAGACAGCCTGACTTGGGTCCCACTAGGCGGGAAGGAAGGCGACTCCCCTGCACCTCTTGCTACGATTAGGACTCGCGGCTTGGTGAAAACAGAAATCAAAACTTGGGCCTATTTCTCCTGAGTTCTCCTTGCCTAGAACAATTCGCAACAATGACTCTTATTAAACTCCGGGAGGACTTTCTCTTTTTCCGCCCGGAATCCGATAAGGAAGACTTGTTCTGGTCCCCTCAGCTCTCTGACCTCATCTACCAGAGGAGTGAGTGGCATCCTCTAACACTCGAGCCGTCATCCCAGCACTAGGGGACAGTGACCAGTGTGGCTCCCGTGGCCAGAACCCTTCTGAAGCTTGGGTTGCCCTGTGGTCTTCGCCTTCAAAGCAGGCCGTCACTCGAATCCTTCTGGAACGGACAGTGTTAACTGTAAACGCTGCGGAATAGTATCTTCTAAGTATTCGTAGCTTCTTTCTTGAGGGATCTCGGGAACATTCCGTGTATTAACCACTAGCATATTCCAAAGTTAACTTCGTGATGAAGTCACCGGGGAAAAAAAAAAAATCGCTCCAGTTCCACAGGTGATTGAAACAAACGTGATCTGTTTCCCAGACTTCCTTGATGGTAAGAATTAATTGGGGTACCAATTAAAAATAAAAATAATTGCGTCATTTCCAACGCACTAAATCAGAGTCTTTAAGGGCAGGTCCTGGGAAGCCATCCACGTAACGGGGGTCCCAAGTGGGCTCCTATCAGCGAGGGCGGGGACTCAGCGAGAGGGCTGGCAGCGACGGGGCAAACCCCAGACAACTGCGCGGCTGCGTTTGTTCCTGGAGCTTGCGAGCACTTGCAGTGCATGACACCTCCACAGGGTGGTGGCCTGCCACCGCGAGAGCACCAGCTCCGCCAACGTCCTCTCCTGAGGACACTAGAGCGGAAGGAAACGGACAATTCAGTCTTCCCCTCAGCTTGAAGGCAGCATTCTTTTGCTTCTCTTTTTTTTTTTTTTAAAATTTATTTTTTATTTTTTTATTTTTATTTTATTTTATTTTTTTTATTATACTTTAAGTTCTAGGGTACATGTGCATAACGTGCAGGTTTGTTACATATGTATACTTGTGCCATGTTGGTGTGCTGCACCCATCAACTCGTCATTTACATCAGGTATAACTCCCAATGCAATCCCTCCCCACTCCCCCCTCCCCGTGATAGGCCCCGGTGTGTGATGTTCCCCTTCCCGAGTCCAAGTGATCTCATTGTTCAGTTCCCACCTATTTGAGTCAGGTTAATTGCCTTGTCTTCCTGCCACTCAGTCAGCAGGTATTAAGCGGCAACCGCCTTGCCAAGCACTGTGGTGGGGGCTGTGGCTTATGTTTTCTGGAACAGAACATAGTTGTTGCTACCTTGGGGATGGGGGCGGGGGGGAATAGAAAGAATGCGGAGTTAGCGGGGTATCAGGGAACAAGGGTGGAACAGATATAATAATTAGGGTACAGTTAGTTAGGGCCTATTGAAGGAGCACAAACGAAGAATAAACTTGTCTGGGAACTAGTGGAAGGTGTCCCCCAGGGGATGTTAAAGAGCTGATTCTAGAATTAATTCAGTGGGGAAAGAAAAGGAGAGAGACATGCCAGGCAGAGGGAGCAGCACGCCTGATTGTCTGGAGGTGATCAGAGAGCCTGGCTGATTGAAGATGAACAGGAATTGTGTAGTCTGTGTTCATTCATTTATTCATTCCACAACTATGGATTTAGAAATGGTTAGTCAACCAATGTGGAAAAATAACATCTCGTTAAAATGTTCTTCAAATGTCCACCTAGTGTTTTGATGTTCAGTTTTGATGACTGGACCCACCATCAAAGGCCTCTGAATCTTTCTGATGTATCTACCCTTTTGGACCCTATGGGAGATCTTTATCTCCGCGTGATAATCTCCTTCTCACGTTTTTACTAAAAGTTTGGAGACTTGAATTCTGCTCCAAATAGAGTGAAACAGAGTCTTGCTCTATTGCCCAGGCTGGAGTGCCGTGGCTTGATCACAGCTCGCTGCAGCCTCCATCTCCCAGGCTCAAGCCATCCTCCCTCAATCTTTTGACCAATACTCAGAGTAAGAAATTTATTTCACTAAGAAATACTTGACTACCTATAATGTATTTCAAAATTTTCTATTCTGTTCTTTTCAATTCTGTTACTAGTCTGCTTTAGCTGCCATACAAAATACTATACATTGGGTGGCTTAAACAACAGAAATTTATTTCTCATACTTCTGCAGGCCGGAAAGTCCAAGATCAAAGTGCTGGCCAATTCGATTGAAGGCCCCATCCTGACTTGCAGATAATCAGTCGCCTTCTTCCTGTGTTCCCATGTGGCAGAGAGATCTCGCGCTCTTGCTCTTTTTTTTTTTTTTTTTTTTTTAACTTTTCTAAATTCTTTTTTTTTTGTATTTTTATTTTTTTACTTTTATTTACTTATTTTTTTGAGATGGAGTCTCACTCTGTTGCGCAGGCTGGAGTGCAGTGCCTCAATCTCGGCCCACTGCAACCTCTGCCTCCTAGGTTCGAGTAATTCTTGTGCCTCAGCCTCCCGAGTAGCTGGGATTATAGGCATGTGCCACCACGCCTGGCTAAATTTTTTTTTTTTTTTTTTTTTTTTTTGTATTTTAGTAGAGACAGGGTTTCACCATGTTGGCCAGGCTGGTTGCCAACTCCTGACCTCAGGTAATCTACCTGCCTCAGCCTCCCAAAGTGCTGGGATTACAGGCATGAGACACCACACCTGGCCTTTCTTTTTTTTTTTTTTTTTTTGTACTTTTGGTAGAGACAGAGTTTTACCATGTTGGCCAGGCTGGTCTCGAACTCCTGACCTCAAGTGATCTACCCGCCTGTGCCTCCCAAATGGCTGGGATCTCTTCCTCTTCTTATGAGGCTTCAGTGTTAATGGAATTAGGGCCAACCGTTACAACCTCATTTAACCTTAATTATATTTTAATTATATTTCCAGATATAGTCACATTGGGGTTTAGGCCTTCAACATATGAATTTGGCAGGGAGGGGACACACAATTCAGTCTATAGCAAATTCTATGTCACTTAATTTTAAAAATACCTCTCAAGGCCCACTAAATGTGAGCTTATGATCCACTATTGCAGTAGTTCTCAATGGTGGAGGAGTGGTGCTTGGGTTTTGCCCTGAAGGAACATTTGGTGATGTCTGGACAGTCTTGCTCTTCACAATTGGGACAGCTACTGCATCTAGTGGGGAGCAGCCAGGGATGCTGCTAAACGTCCTACTATGCACAGGACAGCCCTCGACAACAGAGCATTATTCAGCCCAAAATGTCAATAGTGCTTAGGTTGAGAAAACCCAGCACTAATCATTTGGAAACTCAATATTTATAGTAATCAATTATTTTGGGAGTACTATAATTTCTACAAGGACACTATCCATTGCTTCTGCCTCAGAGTAAGCTGTCGTCGTTTTTTTTCCCCACGTCAGATCTAAAGGGAGAAAAAAATGGAACGAACAGTTATTATTATATGTGCCTATTATGTGCTAGGTATTCTGTATAAACATTTCTAGTATTTAATTCTTACAGCAACCCTGTGAGATAGATATTATTACCTCCATATCATTGATTGGGACACAAGCTCGAATACTTGAATGATCTGCACAGGTTTCCCAAAAGGCAATGAAAGAACCTGGATTATAACTCATGTCTCTGATTGTCCAGGGGAAGAATAGAAAGGAAAACGGTAAATATGTGGATATTTATACACATATCTCTAACTCCTAATACAATGCCAAATATCCATGTATTTACCATGCCAGTAAATACATGGTAACTGGTCAATTGTTCAAGTGCACATAGCTCGTAAGTGGTCCAATCCAAAGCCCATATTTTATTGTACTATACTGTGCTTTCTTCTTTGGTCCAAAGTAGGAAAATTTGTTACCCAAACAACAGCAAGGAAGCATAGCACAATGGATCTTGGTATTTACAACCTAAGTCAATGATTTTATACGCATCACTTGCAATTTTTATTGCATGTAAGAAACTATTGAATGTTAAGAGACATGGCTTACATTCTGGTTTTGCCTACATAAATGGAATTTTAATTTCTCATACATGAAATATGTATGATGTAACAATTAACACTAATCCATTAATTCAGGACACCAGTAGGAGGAGCTCCTTTCTTTTAAATGAGTAAGTATTTACATAAATCTGTATAATTAATTTTAGAGCACCAAAACTACAAACAATATATTACAAAGATATAGAAGATTCTACATATATAAAGAACTGCTTTTTAAAAAACTTGAATCAAAATTATCATTAAAGTCGGGGATGATAAATGGGATAAAAAATTATGTGAAATTGGATTAAGGGTATTTGGGGATACTTATTACTTCCATACTAGAAAATTTGAAAAAATAAGTTAAATAGATACATGCTTAGAAAAATTAAAATACTAAATGAGATGTAAGAACAGAGAACATGAATAAAGCAAACAAAAAAAGAAATAAGGATTATATAGATAATAAATTATCTGGTTGTATTA